GTGGACGAACCCATAGGTCCCCTGATATCGGACACGGCCATATCAGGAGATTTTGCTGAGGCTCTTAAAGCCGAGGCCCGAAAGAGTGAGTCCAACTACAGGAGAACGCACCAGGCAATAGCTTGGGCTACCAGGGCGACTACCTCCGCGTCCTTTTTCACCAGAGCCACACTTTGTTGGCTCCGTGAGTTACAGGGCCGGGTTCCCATGGAGGATATACGCACTCACCAGGAACTCAGCAAAATGGTAGCAGCCACGGAATATGCGTCGGACGCGACACTTTTAGCGACCAAGTTTTCAGCCAAGGCAATGGCGGCAAACAACACGAGCAGGCGCATCCTCTGGCTAAAGAACTGGCAGTCGGATACCAAATCCAAGTGGAAATTGGCTTCGGCTCCGTACCAAGGGGCAAAGCTGTTTGGTGAGGCACTAACGCCATACCTGACAGAGAACAAGGACTAGCGCAAGGTCCTTAAACACATGCTTAAAAGGCAGGACAAGAGACCCGGCTCCTGGGGAAGGAAACAATCCTTTCGTACGGAAGCCAGGGTCAACTACTTCCAAAATTCCCAACCCTTCCAAGCTAGACAGGATAGAGAAAGACAGGGGGACAGACAGAACACAAGAAATAGGCAAACACAGGGAAGACGGCCCTTTCGGGGGAACAACCGCCCCTTCCGCCGTACCAGATGACTCCCATCCAGACCTTCCCATAGGGGGCAGACTAGCAGGGTTTGCTCCCCAGTGGGAAGAGACCACCACGGACATATGGGTCAGGAACACCATACGTCATGGTCTATCTCTAGAATTTCTCTCAAAGCCCCCGAACCGCTTCTGCCTGTGCCCCTGTCCCACAAACCCAACAAAGAGAAGGCTCATGAACGAGGCCATTCAGCACCTTCTAAACATACGGGCCATAGAGCCGGTGCCTATGAACCAGAGAGACCAGGGGTTTTATTCTATCCTCTTCGTGGTCCCAAAATCCTCGGGGGGTTGGAGAGCCGTTCTGGATTTAAAAAGGCTAAATTTCTACATAAAATACCGCAAATTCAAAATGCAGACACTACGCTCCATCCTTGGAAGCGTAAGGAAAGGGGATTTTCTGGCATCGATCGACCTCACGGAGGCATACTTGCACATCCCTATCTCTTTGGCTCACCGCCGTTTTTTACGGTTTGCCTACAGGGGGCACCATTTTCAATACAGGGCACTTCCATTCGGCCTGTCATCAGCGCCCAGGGTGTTCACCAAGATTCTGGCGGTTCTGGCAGCACACCTAAGAAACGTACCAGTTAGAGTCCAGTGCTACCTGGACGATATTCTAATCCAGTCATCGTCCGCCCAGCAGTCTCAGGCGGACCTAAAGTTAGTGATAAAACTGCTGCAGGACCACGGCTTCTCGGTGAACTTTCCAAAGAGCCATCTAACACCAACTACGAGAATACTCCATCTGGGAGCGGTCATAGACACAAAGGAGTGCAAGGTGTACCTATCACAGGAACGCCTCAGCAGCATAAAGAAAGCCGTAAAACAGGTAAGCCGCGGTCAGTCAGTGACGCTGGTCTGCCTCTCCCAGCTGCTAGGGAAGATGATATCGACCATAGCAATAGTTCCTTGGGCAAGGCTGCACTCAAGAGAACTGCAGTGGTTCATGCTCCCGTTTCAGAGACAGCAAATCAGTGCATCCCAGAAGAGGGTAGGCATACCTCTGAGAGTACGACACTCCCTCAGGTGGTGGCTATCTCCAGCTCTCCTCAGGGGGTCCCCCTTCAGGGAACCAGACAGAGTAGTAATCACAACAGATGCGAGCTTATTCGGCTGGGGAGGCCACTTGGGGACCAAGTGGACACAGGGATCTCTGACACAACATAAACTGGCTCGAGCTGCGGGCTATTCACCTAGCGTTAAGGCATTTTCACAGCAGCATAAAAGGCAGACATGTACTGGTCCTGACGGACAACGTGACAGCCAAGGCCCACATAAACCGTCGGGGACACACACTCTCGCTCGCTCTTGGCCGAGGCCCTCCTACTGGGGGCCTGGGCGGAACAAAATCTGGCCTCCATAAAGGCCGACCACATATCAGGGGAGGCAAACATCCAAGCAGATCTGTTGAGCAGATCAACAATAGATCACTCGGAGTGGCAACTACACCCGAGGATCTTCAGGGAGGTCTGTCACCGCTTCGGGCTTCCCCAGGTGGACCTTTTTGCCTCTCCTTCCAATGCCCACCTAACTCTCTTCTTCTCCCGATTCCCATCCAAGGGAGCAGAGCAGACGGACGCGTTACGGAGCCCATGGCCAAGGGGGCTCCTGTACGCGTTTCCACCCTTACCTCTCCTTCCGGCGGTAGTACGCAAGATTCTGCGGGAAAGGGCCGAGATAATCCTTGTGGCCCCTTATTGGCCAAGGAGACCTTGGTTCGCAGACTGGAGGAGTCTCTCCCGCACGAATCCATGGCGGATTCCTCCGGAGAGGATCTCCCTCAAGCAGGGGGAGATCTCCCACCCAGAGCCACAATGGCTACAACTAGCCGTCTGGCTCTTGACCGGTCAATTTTAGCCAAGGGGGCTTGCTCACAGGGTGTAATTAGGGTCATACAGGCATCAAGGCGCCCCTCCACGAACCGTATCTACGAGGCCACGTGGAGAAGCTTCCAATCATGGTGCTCTAAACAGGAATTGTTACTCGAAGGGATCACAGTTTCCAAGATCCTAGAATTTTTACTAGATGGCCTAGAGAGGGACCTCTCGCCAAACACGCTGCACAGGCAAATCGCCGCCCTCTCAACTATACTTTCTGCCAGCCCCGGTGAATCCTTGGGCAAGCATCCCTTCATACGATCCTTCCTCAAGGGGGCTGCGAACATCAGACCGCCAACCGTGCACAGGTATCCATCGTGGGAACTACCACGAGTACTACAAGCTCTTGCCAGAGCGCCCTTCGAACCACTCAAAACATGTGACATTCGCTACCTGACCCATAAGGTAGCATTCTTAGTAGCTATCACGTCAGCTCGACGGATATCCGAGTTAGCTTCTCTCTCAACGAGGAAGGACCTGTGTCATTTTCACAGGGACAAGGTAGTCCTAAGAATAGACCCTTCATTCCAAAGGTCAACTCCTTTTTTCACAGATCACAGGAAATAGTCCTACCAGACTTCTGTCCAAACCCAGCTCATCCCCTGGAGCAACAATGGCACACCTTGGACGTACGAAGGGCACTAAGACATTACATTTCACGCACAGCGGAATTCCGACGCTCGGAAGCGCTTTTCATATCCTTCCACCCCGCTACTAGGGGCCGGAAGGTCTCGTCCTCTACCATCGGTAGGTGGATTAGGGCATGCATCACTGGGGCATACCAGGTGGAGTCCTTGCAAGTCCCCAAGCATATCACGGCCCACTCCACAAGGAGTGCTGCCACCTCAGCAGCATGGGCCAGGCAGGCTTCTATTGAAGAGGTATGCAGGGCAGCCACTTGGGCCTCTCCCTCTCCATTCATTCGCCATTACAAAATCAACAAGTACTCCTCTGCAGAGGCCTCCTTCGGTAGGAGGGTTCTCCAGCAGGTTCTAGACCAAAGTTACACACGGGACCAGTCTATTCCCCAACCCAAGGGACAATAGGCTTTGGTATGTCCCACTGCGTGGATTATCCATCTCCAGTGCTGTAGAAGGGGCGTTGACTTACCTGAACGCCTTTTCTCAGCACGGAGATGGATAATCCACACCCACCCTTATAGACTAGGATAATAGGGTATATTTAGTGGAGCCAAAACGTCTTACTGTCAGTCAATGGCTGCGCTCGTGTCAAGACTGGAGAATCATAGTCCAGGATGGGCGTGGCAACTTTGGCTGACTGATCTGATTGGCCAGGAATACAGTCTCAACCCACTGCGTGGATTATCCATCTCCGTGCTGAGAAAAGGCGTTCAGGTAAGTCAACGCCCCATTTCAGGCGTATAAGATGATTCGGCGTATAAGACGACCCCTGACTTTGGCGCCGATTTCCATGCTTTAGAACAGTGGTTCTCAACCTGTGGGTTGAGACCCCATTTGGGGTCGAATGACCATTTCACGGGGTCACCAAACAACGCAGTCCGCCATTTTTTTCCCCTTTTCCTTAGCTGTGCTATCACTTTTATTCTATTGGCTTTTGAAAGCCAATAGAATAGACTCTCTTGAATAGAGTCTAATTCTATTGGCTTTCAAAAGCCAATAGGAATTGTCCAGGCTGTCTCTGCCCTGCTGAGCCAGCCAAAAGTCCCATTCTGCAAATGGTGCTGCACCAGTTGAGTAGTCCTTGACTTACGACCGGTTGAGTAGTCCTCGACTTATGACCGGTTGGGGGTCGCGGCATTAAAAAGGTTGAGAACCACTGCTTTAGAAAGTCGTCTTATACGCCGGAAAATACGGTAGTTTTCTGATGATAAACTGGTGGAATACTTTAGAGTTTGGAAAATATCAACCTTTGGAAAGTAATTCATTATTTTTGGTGGCACGGTGGTTAGAATGCAGTATTGCAGGCTAATTCTGCCCATTGTCTGGAATTCGATCCTGAAGGGCTCAAGGTTGACTCAGCATTCAGAGGTTGGTAAAATGAGGACCCAGATTGTTGAGGACAATATGCTGACTCTGTAAACCACTCAGCCTTAGAGAGTGCTGTAAAGCACTATGAAGCGATATATAAGTCTAAGTGCTATTGCTATTTTATGGTATACGTTAAATCAGGACTTTGCAACCTTTTCACAGATTTAGGGCATGACAATATTTGAGTACTACCAGTGCTTAGCAAGGTGTCAAAAACTTGATGACTAAAAAAAATGGGGGAGGATTTTGGGTGTTACTGATTAGATTCATTTGTTGTTATAGAAATAACCAGTTTATAATATTGTGGAAAAGTAAAAAGTTGAGGTTCGTGTTAATGCTTCCTTTTACTGCAACAGAGGAAGTCGGAAGTCATGCCTTTTCTTTTTCCCTTCGCCCCCTCACTTTTTTCCCTCTCCCTCAGGCTTTTGTCACTTCAACTCATTCCCCTCCCCTGCTACACTTGTCTAGGAGGGTCGCATACCATCTGCCAGGTGCCAAAATACCACTGGTGGTACTCTTCATCTAATGCAGGGCTTTATTTGTGGGTAGCTGACAGAAAATATCAGAAATCATGGCCATATGATTAGAGGGAGGCTGCAATGGTCACAACTTTGCAAATAAAACTGGCTGAACATCATGGAAATTTCAATTCCACAGGAGCAATAGGTCCTGGATTTTTTACACAATTATTTAAGTTAACAGAGTGAACAATTATGATGTGTACTACAATCCTTTGGGCTAACTTGAGGTAAACAACTAAACACAAGGAAAGTTTTAATAGTATATAGATATGCTCTTGTTTGCATGAAAAGCTGCCTCTCCTATTCGCTCATCCCAACATCTCTTATTATTTAAGCCCTGTTATAGTGCCAAGAATGATAAATTTACCTATAGGTTTGTAGATGATATGAAACAAAAAGCTATGTGGCTGCTTCATTTCAAGTGCTTTGCTTCATATGAATGGCTGGTATGCTGGCTCATTCCCTTTAATGCAGAGAGAAGTGACTGACCAGTCTTATTTTTGGCCATATATTGCCACCTTATAATCATCTATTCTTTTTCTGTTTGCAGGCAAAGCTACAACTTTGTTCAGTTGTCACACAAAGGCAATTGTGTGGGGAATGCAGACTCGGGCTGTGCAAGGCATGCTGGATTTTGATTACGTCTGCTCAAGGGATGAGCCTTCAGTGGCTGCCATGGTTTATCCATTCACGTAGGTTCATCACATGCTCCTCTCAGGCTACCTTGCTTCTTTCTGCTCAATTAGATTATGCAAACTGTCATAAAATATACACAAGACTGTGACATGAAAATAAAAATAGAAGAAAAAGGGGGGAATCAAAATATCATTTATGATACAAGAGTAGTAATTATAACTGCACCTCAATTTTTAAATAAAAATTGACTCTTGACCACACAGAAATGTAGTATCTTTTCATCAATAAGAAACCATTCAAAAGCTAAGAGTTGACAAATGTAACTAAACTCCCCTTCAAATCTGGTGTTCACATGTCTAAACATAATTACCCTTTTAGAAACAGTCCAAGCATTATACATACAAAGCTCCTCAAAATAGAGAAGTTCCAGATTTGGGAGCTATAATTTAAGCACACATTAACATCTATAAACTGCATTTTCCTTCCAAGAACTCAGACCACCATAGTAAAAAAAGTCTAACCAGACAGGAACTAACAAGGGGCGCAACAAAACGTATACAAAAATATCTTCAAATGTAGTCTACCTCCAACCTAGGAAGGATAGTATTCAATTTTTTACATATACTCATTGGAGAATCCAGTAAATATAAAAAACAACTTTTTAATGGGACTAACAGATTTATAATTACAACTCGTCTGCCCTCATTAAAACCTTAAAATGTTATAATGAAGGATAATCTAGTTCTTTATTTGGAATTTCTTGTATATTATTCAAATATCATTATGTAATTAAAAAAATGTTGTTAAGAATGCGTGGTTCATTTAGCTTCTGTAACAGCTTTCTTAAGTGCAGTACTTTAATTAGAATTTTCTCCCCCAAAGCTACTATTATTACCATTACAGTTACAATTGTGATTGAACCAACAACTCTTTTTCACTAGATTAATCATAAATTTAATATAAATTTTCATATGCCAACTATTTAAATTCCTATATGTTTATATAGAGTCTCTCAAATTTTCAAAACATTTTTTAAGTACTCTGATCCATTACTGGATCCAAGAGTGAATTAAAGTCACCAGCAGCATCAATTATCAATACTATCTGTAAACGAAAAAGATTTGCAAAACAATTACGTTAAATTTCTGGCACCTCTCTGGTTGCTATAATTCTTGATGTAAGCTATAATTCTTGATGATTATTATTAATTATTAGTATACTATGATGATATACTGTCATCCAGTCAATATTCAGAATAAATACTGAAAAAAATAATTATTGCCTAATTTAGATAACAGTTCTGGGAGATAAACTGTTTTCAATAAGTAGGCTTAAAGCAGGGTTGAGGATAAATTTCCATCTATCTGTTGCTCCACCAAAAGTGAGGCAGTTGATTTAGGTTAATGTACTGCAGTACAGCCCCATGGCTGTACTAATAAATGAGGCACTGTGTATGTCTCTAGCCAAGACATTAATATTGGCATATACTTATTATTTTGGACAGAGGTGACCACAGACAAAAATTTTACTGGGGTCACAAAGAGATACTCATTCCTGTATTCAAGAATATGGTAGACGCCATGAAGAAACACCCAGAAGTGGATGTGCTGATCAACTTTGCCTCTCTCCGTTCAGCATATGATAGCACCATAGAGACTATGAATTATCCTCAGGTACGTGCAAGGATTTCTATGAAAGTAATCCTCATGAGTTATTTAGTTATAAACACCTCTTTATTATCAGAGATGATTTTTGCTAAGATGATGAGGCAGTGTGTTGTGCTGCCCATCCTTAAATTAAACTATGAGTGGACAACCCTCTGGGCCCTAAGTTCTTCATTGGTTGGATAGGATATATGTATGTCTCTATAACATATTTACCTGAAGCCCTTTGCTCTCTTCATGCTGTTCAGGAGACAATAGGGTAATAAAACACTTTGGATTCGCAATTTCAAATACGTTTAGATATAACGTTTAGTCTATCTTACATAATACTGAAAGAATTACTAAAATACTGTGTGTTAAGTACTGGTTGCTTTTTAAAAATGTACTAGAAATAGTATTACAACAAATTGGTTATTTAAGTGCTAAAACTATTAAATAGTGGCAAATAAAAGTTTCAAAGTCTACACTCTAGGAACTCTCTTCTGTATTTTAATAACAAAGCAAAAACATCAAGTTTTAGTACAATTTATGACAGTCTAAAATTAGTAAAAATTTGAAGTTTTTTTCAAGTAGCCATGTGAGTTATTTGCCAGTGTTTCCATGGAGCTGTACGTATGCTTCTATGTTAAAGGAACAGAGAATGTGGTAGTGAAATCCTGTTTAATTTGAGAAAATCAGGACTTCTATTGAAAAAAACAGAAGCATGTTTTTAGCATGAAATATACAGAAGTGGTCTGACTGAGACATCACAGAAAACAATATGAAATCAGGGTATTTGGAGCCTCTCATAGGTTTGTGTGCTAATTATACCCAAATTTTACAGCCTATACTTATTTTACAGCTCTCAGTGACTGTAAGAAGTGTGACATCAATATCAGATAATGGGGAAATATTTGGATATCAACAAATCTGGGGCCATTTTAGTTTGATGAGTTTACTGAATCTATTGGAGACAACTATTTTTTTTATCAATTATACTTTTTTAAAAACTGGTGCTGATTTTGCAACTGGAGCACTAAAATTGTTCAAACTTTTTTTGAAGGAAATATTTATTTGAAGAAAAAAAAGAGTTGTAGAGCCATGTTTTTGTCATATATTGCGTGCCATTGTTTATTAGTGAAGGTTAATCAAGGTATAATAATCATAAGACTATTTAGCCATAGTTAGGCTGCAGATTAGAAAGCCTGAAATCAAACTGTGTTTAGACATAACTTTGAGTTATCATTAAGCTTAACCAAAGAAGATGGGAATGGAGATCTGATATATACATACCATACATACATATCAGAGGTCCTTGGTGTTCTCTGAACTTGCTTATTTTCGTGCAGACGTTTCATTACTCTAACTAGGTAGCATCATCAATGCTGCAAAAAAACAAGCAAGCTCATTTCAACCCTGAGCTACAAATATTATCCACTTCATTGAGATGCAGGAGGGAAGAAAGGAAGGAAGGAAGCTAAAAGAGTTGTTAATTATCAAATCACTTACTCAAAATTCATATATGATAATAATAATAATAATAAGAAGAAGTAGTAGTAGTAGTAGTAGTAATAGTAGTAGTAGTAGTTGGAAGGGACCTTGGAGGTCATCTAGTCCAACCCCTTGTTCAGGCAGAAAACACTATACCATTTCAGACAAATGGCTGTCCAGTTTCTTCTTAAAAACTTCCAGTGTTGGAGAATTCACCGCTTCTGGAGGCTGGTTGTTCCACTCATTAATTGTTCTAACAGTCAAAAAATTTCTCCTTAATTCTAGGTTGCTTCTCTCCTTGGTTAGTTTCCATCCATTACTTCTTGTCCTGCCTTCACATGCTTTGGAGAATAGTCTGACTCCCTCTTTGTGGGAGCCCCTGAGATATTGGAACACTGCTATCATGTCACCCCTCATCCTTCTCTTCATTAGACTAGACATACCCAATTCCAGCAACCGTTCCTCATATGTTTTAGCCTCCAGTCCCCTAATCATCTTTATTGGAATACATCTGGAATACATACATGGTGTTTAAGAAGAACCTATAAACTTATCCTCTTCCATCCCCAGTTTCCACAGTGTGCATGATTTAAAAAATCATTTTGGCTGAATCATGAATTTTCATTCCTTGTCATTGTGTCCCAATCTTAAAATCAAGTGGAGAAAAATATATTACTAGAATCATTTTCTGAATCTCCATTTCTCATGAGCAATAGAAAAAAAAACTCTCAGAAATCAATATTGATGCTACTTTCTTCTTGGGCCTCAGATCCGTACAGTGGCCATCATTGCAGAAGGGATTCCTGAGGCCCTGACTCGCAGGTTGATCAAAATAGCAGATGGGAAAGGAGTCACAATTATTGGACCAGCAACGGTGAGATTAGTTTTATTTTCTTTTGGCTTTTTTACAGACTGAGAACATCTTGCTGCACACTAAATGTATTCCAACTGTGCCAGCAGGTTACAGTTTAGAACTTGTAGAGCTCTAAAGAGGAAAATTGTCAGAAAACCTTGATTAATTTGTATAAATGCATCTTACTGGGGATAGTGAATCACTAATTAATCAGCACTTCGAAGTATTTAACCTTCAGAATCCATGGAAATTTCCAATCTCGTCCTTCTCTTGGCATGGCTGAACTGAAAACTAGACCCTAGGCATTTGGTTTTATGTATTTTTGCCAAGGTTTTAGCACAAAACTTCATATTGTGCTACAGGTCATATTTAATATAAGGTGTTATCATCTCTGTGGCCCAAAGATTCTGCGTGCATTGACAATCCCAGAGTAAAGATCTGCCTCATTATTACTTCATTATTTCTTAGATTCATCAAGGCAGGGAAACATTTTTAAAATATTGTCTAAATTTTGATAAATGTAAAGTGTTCCATTCTATGATGAAATGTCCAAATCTTAGTACTGGGGGAGGGGGTGTTTGATTATGACAACTTTAAAAATTATGGGCAAAGAATGCCTGTTTTTTTTCATTTTGCTTCATGTAAAATGTAATGGACTATAGGTAAAGATGAGAGCCAATTTGGTGTAATGGATAAAGCACTAGGTAGAAATTAGGAGGCGATCAATTCTAGCCCCAGTTTAGGCAGGAAACGAGCTGGGAAAACTAGATAATGGGGGGGGGGGTAAATGAGAGACGGTCTACGTGAGTTGTCCTGAGCTGGACCTGACTTAGAAATTAATTGTTTGAATTAAGAGATCTTGATATTTCAGCTCTTTATTTCTGTTCATAGGTTGGTGGGATTAAACCCGGCTGCTTTAAGATTGGAAACACAGGAGGAATGCTGGATAACATTCTGGCATCCAAGCTGTACCGCCCTGGTAGCGTAGCTTACGTCTCCCGCTCAGGAGGGATGTCCAATGAGCTCAACAACATTATCTCCAGGACCACAGATGGAGTCTTTGAAGGTGTAGCCATTGGTGGAGATAGGTAAGAGAAGTAGTTACAAATGTTTATTTTGCCTATTTTTGTCTTTTAAAATACTTTAAAAAAAATGTTCCCTTCTGCCCAGATATCCTGGTTCTACCTTCATGGATCATGTACTGCGTTACCAGGATACTCCAGGGGTGAAGATGATTGTAGTGTTAGGGGAAGTAAGTATCTTTTAATTTCTAACTTGAGCGTAATTTGGAAATTGGATCTTTTCCTGTAATGAACTCTTTGTGTAAAAATGAACGTGATTTTTTTTTTGGATGATTAGACAAATAAATTATAGATAGTAATATATTGTAACTTTATGAAAAGAGCTTAAATATATTTGTATTTATAACTGCTGTGAAGAATATCAGAAATTACTACTTTGTATTTTTTCTTTTCTTTTTTTTTAAAATTTTTTTCTTATCTTGCACTTTTTGTTTTTTCTTTAATTTCTTATTCTTTTTTCTTTTTATATTATTCTTTTATCTTGTTTTAATAAAAATTATACAATTATACATACACACGTATACATTTATGAAATTGGATCTTTTCATTGACTTCATAGAACATTTTTTGAAAAAGCAAGAGTAGATGAGAACAAAAATACACAGCATTGTTGTCTTCTGCAGCCAGTGTCATAAAGCCAAGGATCGGAAAGCCTCTCTCTCTTATTACTAGCCACGTTGGCTAGGCTTCTTGGGAAGGGTAGTCAGCAGCATCAGGAGGGCAACTTATTTTATATCCTTATATATGCTGTGGAAACATAAATAAGTCATCTAGAATAAGCTTGCCAATATTACCTAATAGCACAACATTGTTGAATGATTCTATAGCTACAGCTGAAACAGAGCTTTGATTTTTTTATGTCTAGCAGCTCTCCATCACAGGATTACCTTAATTTTGATATAAACATATTCTTATTTTACCTGCCACCTGGCTTAATTTAATATCAGCATAAAGTCTTAAAATATCTTGATCTTGATTTATTATTATTACTACTGTTTTACTCAGATTCATATTTCACTCCATGTAAGCAGGAGACCTATGTTAACACTTCTCTTCATCTAATGCTCTTGTTTAATAGAATTAAATTAAACTTAAGGCTGGTTTGGTGAAGTCCATATTGTGCCTTGTTTTAAAGAACAGCATATATGTACTGCATTAATATATTTGGCTTCAATTTTGTTTCAATTTTTTTAGATTGGAGGAAAAGAAGAGTACAAAATCTGTAAGGGTGTTAAAGAAGGCCGGATCACTAAACCTGTTGTGTGCTGGTGCATTGGAACATGTGCTACTATGTTCTCTTCGGAGGTAATATATATAGTAAAGAGGAAATCATTGAATCATTGGCAGAATCAGTCTATCTTAATTAAAGATGAAGGCCATCCAAGTCTTCACTAGTTTTGTTGCTAATGATCACTTGTTATTTTTTAATAAAATGAGACTTGATGTTATTCCACAACCTGTGAAAAATCTAAGAACCATCTCTCTGCCCCTTTGATAATCAACCAGTCTTTGTATCTTCTACACTATCATCGTCCATATTCAATGCGCATTGCTTTAATTCTTTTAAAAGGTATAAAACATGTATGAGTTAATAATTTTGCATACTGTAATTATAGGTCCACCTGATCAATAAGATTTTCATCTGAGACCAGGTGTTTCTGCCAAATGAGATAAGACAAATGTCCACAAGAACTTTTTTTCAAAGGGGAGAGGATTATCCCATATGTGGAATTCCTTCCCCATAGATGCTCATTTTGTGCCACATAGACGCTCATTATGGGTTTTTTTGCTACCAAATAAAGATTATTCCATCATGCATTTAGATGTAATTTTAGTGTTTTTAGTTATTATTCTATATGCTTTAAGTCTTATTCTGATTGTAGGCTACATTGTTTTTACTATTTATAGCTAGATTTACTTTTGTTTTATTATACATTCTTTTTATCATTATTCTGTTTAGTATTTTATGTTTTATATGTCTTTTTTGATAACAGGTACAATTTGGCCATGCTGGAGCATGTGCCAATCAGGCATCTGAAACTGCTGTAGCCAAGAATAAAGCATTAAAAGAAGTGGGTGTCTTTGTACCCCAAAGCTTTGATGAGCTGGGTGATGTAATCCAGTAAGTGACATTATGTCAATAATCAATATCTTTTGGGCTTCCTGAACAGTCTGAGAAATAGTATTATAGGTTTACTCAGGGTCTTCAGAATAGAGTCACTCATCCTTTGTTGGATTACAGGATGGATTGCTCTCAGAATTATAAATGGCATTCTTTACTATTATTGTGTCTGAGCAAACATCAGCAAACAGATACGTGAATCAGGCTACATGTTATAATTACCGTAAGAATTGCTTTGTCTATTGCAAAGTCTGGAATATACTTTATCAATGGGTAAAGCAAGGTAAATAGAAATCTCTCATGTAGTAACAATACATATTGCATGAAGTTATACAACTTTATGCTTGGAATAAGATTTTGGGTGAAACCATTCAAAATAAATCCTGGTTTAAAAAAAACATTGCTTAGTAAAAAGATGAATTACACTAATGGAGTACTAGGTTTTACAATGCATCCCCTATTTTCATTTGAAGCACTAACACACTTTCTGCCTTCGTCAATCAAAATTTGCAAGACTTTGCTAGCAGCATAAAATTGTCAAAGTCCCTTGACTTAATATAACTTTTAGATTGTTTCATAAATCCTTTGCTGTATCCTTCCTATAGCTATTTCCACAACCTGATTTCTTTAATTAAGTTACACTGAAGGATAAGCGGTAGCATGCAACTGATTTTGTTCTAGTGGAACTTATTTGGTGTATAAAGTCAAAGATATTTTATTGAACATTTTATCAAGTGTACATAAAGAAAAGGAAATTGAAACCACATAAAATGGTATTTTCAGCAATTTTAAGATATGTGGACTTCAACTAGCAGAATTTCCTAGCTAGCATGCAAGTTTACACATTTTAAAGTTTCTGAGCTACAAAAAAAAAAACTGGAATGTATTGTTTTTTTACTTGTAAATGTAAGTAAAAAGTACATACACAAGGACTTAAAAGATTTAAAAATACAGAAATTCCTTCTCCTAAAAAAGAAAAAGCCAGATGAAATCTTATACAAGTATGCCATAATATGATATCCATATTTCTTGAATATAGAGCTTAAAAAATGAAAATGGATTGTATATACTATTCTAAAGATAGATTTTAATTGAGTTAGAAATTAAATTCTGCCAAGCAGTTGCAAAGTCTCTTTTTATTTGGAGATTTGTGGAACTAGGGACTATTGGGCTGTAATTGTTGGAAAATATAAATACATAGGAGAATAGTAGATTGAGCCTTAATTGAGTATTGGTTTTATGGAGTTCTAGTGATCACTATCTGTGAGTATAAGGAGATGATCTTCAAAATAGATATAATACAAGCCCAGTATCTAATCACTGGGTCAATCTGTAACAAATTAAAATTGTTTTCTTTCCTTTCAATAGGTCAGTGTATGAGGATCTGGTTTCTAAGGGAGTAATTGAGCCAGCACAGGAAGTTCCTCCTCCAACTGTGCCAATGGATTACTCATGGGCAAGGGTAGGTTTACTCTTAATAGTCTAGAAGAGGTACCCATGAGAGGTGAATGGCTGAATGAGCTTGAAATTCTTAAAACATGCTATGTAGCTCAGCGTTCCCCAACCTTTCTAGGTTGGGGATTGTTTTGACGGCAGGTGTGTGCATGCACACATCTTCAGTCAGCGCCCACCTCTTGCGCAAGTGGAGCTGTGAGTGCTGGCATTGGTGCCCGCTGCTCACATGAGTTGGCTGTGTGCACGCACGCACCAGCCCATCACTCATTTGGCCTGCTTGTAAATAGGCCACAGCCCAGAAGTGGGCCATGGCTTACAGGTTGGAGAGCCTGATGTGGATGATAGCTTGTAAAAGTGTTTATTAATATATTTGATTATAATTGGATGATCAGCTTAGTTCTGTCCACTATTTTCTTGCAAATGAATCATTCAAGTGGAGCATGGAGTGTGTGTGAGCGAGAGAGAAAACATTTAATTAATAATATAATTAAAGCTTATGTTTTCATTGTCAAAGTAAAGTTGACTTCGAATTTTACCATTAAGTACCATAGGTAGGGGCATCAGTAAGCCAACACTGTTCCATGGAAAAGCATTTCTTTTATCTAGAAGATTAATCCAAAGGACTGGTCTAATATATCCTACATGTTCCCTGGAAACAGGGCTGGCCCTATCTCTAGGCAAAAAGAGGTAGCTGTCTCAGTATCATTTGACTTTGGATCCTAGGAACTGTGATGATCAGAGAGGTGGACATCATATGTTTCTTAACCTGAAGTACTAAAATATTTGGGACTAGATTTCACTAGAATAAATTATTTTTATGGAAGAATATTTACCTGTGTAAGCCTGATATGAATCTGAACTGATACGAGTCTGCCAGCTCTCTGAAAATTAAGACAGGGCTGCCATGTTTGGGATTTTTTTCTAATTTTCCCCCCTATTTTTAGGAGCTTGGTTTAATTCGGAAACCAGCTTCTTTCATGACCAGCATCTGTGATGAGCGAGGTCAGGAACTGATCTATGCAGGCATGCCAATTACCGAGGTCTTCAAGGAAGAGATAGGAATTGGTGGTGTCTTGGGTCTTTTGTGGTTCCAGAGAAGGTAAATTGTTTTTCTGGTGGTTTGAGGGAAACTTCACAATATTATCTCACTTTTCTTTTTTGAGAGGTTTGGGTGTTTTCAGGGTGGGGCTGATTCTGATTGTGAAACAAAGATTTTAAATAATTGGAATAAACTTCCCATTGAAATATTCACCTAAACTGTTGAGGATTGACAGCTAAATTCCTGAAGCAGGTCTGAGAGATGCTGTCTAGGCTTTTCTAGACATAAATATGGGACAAATAAATGATACTTATATTAGCAAATTCCTTAAACATTCCTGAAAGTTGCCCTTTTGACCATGGATGTCAGGACAAGGTGACAAAAATGGAAACAACTAAATAAAAACAGGATAGTCATATAAATATGTATGAAACATATAAAGGGTAAAATGGATGGAAGAGAAGTACTGATATAGCTTAGAGATATAGGCAACCTGTTTATCTTCCAGAGGTTACTGCGATATATGATTATGCTTATGACAATATTGATAATGATGGATTTCTGACTGGTGCCCTCTGCTATCCCTTCTCTGTATTGTATACAAGTACAAGAAAAGGTATACGCTAAGGTCTGGTCTCAAATTCTGCAAAGTTTTGGGGATGCTCCATATGTTGGAAGCTCTAATGATGTATTGCACTATGTAAATGTCCACTTAAAGATGCTTTTCAGCAATATCTGCAGAACGCAGGAACATTTTCCTGCATATAGTGGATGAGGAAGGCAAGAATTCTTTGAAATTGGAAAACTTCCAAAAAATTCTGGTTTAGATCATGACAGATAATATGTAAGCCTTTTTACACAACATATTTTAATATTTGAAAATGTTACTCAAAAAGAAGAAAAACAACATACATTTCACATTAACTATATTAATATATTGTAGCGCAATTACATTATAATAAGTATGTTTAGGATAAAACGGATCATTTTTCCTCTTTCCCTGTTTTTCCAATATTGATTTATGAAAATGTTTCATCAAAATGTATGCACTGTATCAACTGGTAGGTATTCTTGGTAGTGTCCTGAGCCTCTTGCTTCGAATATGCTGTAATTTAGGCAAGTTTAGAAAAGACAAAATGTGATTTAACAGAAGCAGAAAAGATTGGGAGTAGTTGTGAGAGCTACTCTGTCAATGGAATCAATGGCTCAAGTAAGATATTCCTGACCCATTTTTAAAAACCTTTCCTTTAGTAAATAGCCTATGCTGTTCCTGAATAGTTTTTAAGATGCACAGTATGCTATTTCTTGAAGAACAGCTTCTAATATGGAAACTACCAATGCTTTCTTAAGTTACCTGCTCCCAGTTGGCTTTCTGTAGATGCTGGTTGGGAAGTCTAGGTCTTGCAGTAACAATCCAACTGGAAGACATTAAATTGGAGAAGGCTGCCTTAAGCTTTGAATTTCTAGTAGATGCTGTTTTTTAAAAAATGATGCCACAGTTCACCAATTGTCTTTGTAATAACTTCTTGACACTAACTAACTAACAATTGTTTGAAAGGGAACATTATAAAATCTTTGTCTCTTCAGGTTGCCTAAATATGCCTGCCAGTTTATAGAGATGTGTCTGATGGTGACAGCTGATCATGGTCCAGCAGTGTCAGGAGCCCATAATACTATTGTCTGTGCAAGAGCTGGAAAGGACCTTGTCTCCAGTCTCACATCAGGCCTACTCACAATTGTAAGCATTGCCCAGAGGTGGATGAAATTAGAGGATTATACCATTTGAAGTACGTAGCCAGGGCTCTTATGTCTTCACTTATAGTTCATAACGTGCCAGTTTTGAAGGATGACTGATGAAGAGGCTCCTTGACTGGAGATCACTTCAGTGCTAGCATTTATCCGATGCTTCTGGAGCTGTGTTGACAAAGCTGATAACAAAGAATTATATATTTTAAGAGAAAGCTATAGAAACATTTTTTTTGAAATATTGGGTTTCTGCTGGTTATTACATATAAAATGAGGACCCTTTCAGCTTGCTTAGGAGAATAAGTGAATTCAGCAGATAGAAATAACTAGTTAGTTAAGAACATAGTCCTACCAGAGATGATAAAATAGAAACTGCAGTTGGAATTTCCAAGTTTATTGGTTGCCCGATAGGTATGGGCGTAGAATATTAAAAGTGATTTATTATAACATTTCCTCTTATAGAGACACATAAAAAAGACAATCATATCAAAAAGCAAATAAGTGCATATATTTGAAGCCCATTTATTAAACTGGTCTTTGTCATTTTTTTGGAAATTGCCAGGCTAAGTTTGGTTTTGCTCGAGAAATTATATTTCTTCACACGGACCCTGTTCTTAACTATTGCTAAGAATGGCAAACTTGTGATTGAATTCCATAAGCAATAGAAATAGCACTTAGATTCCTGTACCGCTTCACAGCCCTCTCTAAGCCGTTTTACAGAGTCAGCATATTGCTCCCAACAATCTGGGTCCTTATTTTACTGATCTCAACCTCGGAAGGATGGAAGGCTGAGTCAATCTTGAGCCAGTGAGATTGAAACTGCTGTACTGCTGGCAGCCAGTAATCAGCAGAAGTAGCTGCACTGCTACATTCTAACCACTACGCCACCTGGGCTGTAAGCTAAAGCTATAAGGCAGGGGTGTCAAACTGCCAGCCCGCAGCCAGATGCGTCATGCCAAAACCGTGCCCACCCCATTGCTGGCAATGGGGAAAAAGTTGCGATAACGTCGCGACACGTCATGTGACATTGCGAGTTTGACACCCCTGCTATAAGGGAAACACTGCATGGGAAATGTTTCTTATGAAGAAACTCACTCTTCTACTCCAAATGTCCGCTGTTATTGAGGAGGTTAGATGCTTTCTAACCTAGATCTCACTGACATACTCATTTCATGCAATATTTGTATCCATAGCATGCAAAGGAGTTTGAAATCAGTGAAACAACCTCTTTGAAACTGTTGGGAGCTGTTTAAAGAAGCTCTGTTATCTAGTACTGTCTACATTTCTCCTGTTCATACTTTTAAGCTTGATCATAGGATCTTCTGTGTCTGATCTCACTCCAAAGAAAAATCTTTTCCATTTGGCTTTTTCTCTTCTTATCACTGTCCTCCAGGGTGATCGTTTTGGTGGCGCTTTGGATGCAGCAGCAAAAATGTTCAGCAAAGCATTTGACAGTGGCATCATTCCCATGGAATTTGTGAACAAGATGAAAAAGGAAGGGAAACTAATCATGGGCATTGGCCACCGAGTTAAATCAGTAAGTTGCTTGTCTGCTCAGAGATGTGGTAGATTTCTACTGGTAGTAACATAAACTAAATCCTGAATTCAGTTCAGAATTTCAAAGAATTTGGCCATGATATGAAAATATTTTTGATTCTGAGTGCTTGCTAGTTTTAAATTTGTCTTTTTTTTTATTTCTTTTAACTTTGTAGATCAACAATCCAGATATGAGAGTTCAGATCCTTAAAGGTTATGTGAAGCAGCATTTCCCTGCAACGCCTCTTCTAGATTATGCACTGGAAGTGGAAAAAATTACTACTTCCAAGGTATCATCTTTTTGTGAGTTTTAACATGAAAGTACTTGGTTTCCCTATTTATCATAATTTTGTCTCTAAAAACTACAAGAGCTATTGTTATAAATATTAGTTACTAAATTTGAGTGGCAGGAGTTTGCTAGACTCCCTGTCCCTTCATATTTAGTTATTATGATTAAGAGAATTTTTTTTAAAATTGCATATGACAGAAGGATAAAAAAACATGTATTTCCTATATTTTTTTAAAAAAATGTCTTTTAATTATCTGGAAGCTATTCTTTTGCTTGTCTTGGGAATCAGAAAACATTGCATTAGCTTATACAGTGTTATTTATAGAAATCTGAACCCAAAGAAAACATCAAATGCTGCCTATATTTTCAAGCCAGAGAACTTGATAACAATATATACTTTAAACAGAAGCAAAATAATCAGAGATAAAGGTACTATGATAGAAAATATTACTGCATAACTTAGTCAACTAATTATGTGAGCTTACACGTAGAGAACTTTACAAATTGTAATTTAATTAATGGAATTAGGAATTACTATCAAAACTCTGCTACCAATGCAGCCATAAGGGATCTTAAAAATAATCAGATAGATGGTTTATTAACTTTTGTTGTTTTTGAGGAGTATAAGTGTACCCATTAAGAGATACTACTTGTTAAATGCTGGTGATACTTTCATCTGGAATAAAAGTTTCTCTTATTGTTAAAATCTCATTTTTTCCTCAACCTGCTCCACTCTAGAAACCTAACCTTATCCTGAATGTTGACGGATTTATTGGTGTAGCCTTTGTTGACGTACTTAGGAACTGTGGTTCTTTTACACGGTGAGCAATCAATTTCTCATTAATCGTTGTTATGGTTTAGAAGCTTGTTTATAATAAATCTCCTTTGCCCAAAAATAATAATGGTCTCAGACATTCTGGTTATAATGGATATAAAGGAGAAATGAAAGAAAAATTTGAGATCATTGATAGAATAGGCATTATGGCCAGTTTCATTCATTCTATTTAATTTTCTTAGGGTTATATTTGTGCTGTAATTGTTCTAAGAAAGGGATAAACAGAGTCTGCATTCATGCATCATAATTAACCTTAGAGAGATGCTAACAATGACTGCATCTAGACCAGTGGTTCTCAACCTTTCTAATGCCGCGACCCCATAATACAGTTCCCCATGTTGTGGTGACCCCCCAACCACTTATACATCACTGGGTGCCAGGGGTGTGGCCAAAGAAAAGGGGGAAAAATGGCGGACAGCCTTGTTTGGCGACCCCCGTGAAATGGTCGTTCGACCCCAAATGGGGTCCCGACCCACAGGTTGAGAACCACTGATCTAGACCATGATTCATAATGTGATTAATGAAAGTCTCACCAATATTCTAGGACAATGATTTGTTCTTATATATCCAAATAATTATTGTTTAATTCAAAAATATAAGATACAAAATTAGCTAAAAGTACAACTGCTCCTTCAAAAGTAATTTTCCTTCTCTATTTTTCTTTTCTAAAAATCTCACCCCAAATAGCAACTGTGGGGAATTAAGGGACTGGAGCAAGGATTATCTTTCCCTCCTCCCTGTGCATTGATTTCCATGTTGTCAGGATCATCATGAGTTTTTGTTGCTGTTTGCAAAAACAAGAACAAGAGAACAAAAACTTAAAATAGGAATAGCACACTGGGACAAAGTTTGCTGGAATATCTTTCAGCAGCAGAAAAATCAGAGGCCATTACAATACTGGTGTGGTGATGATGTTAATGGGATATGATATGTTATGTGATAATGATGGATTAATTCTTACCTATGGTTGTTCCCTCTTTGGTTAAGAATTTGGGTCTATCAGAGTATGCACACTCCCTATATTCATGTTGCTGTTCAAGCTTTTTAAGGATCCCCACTCAATATAGATCTTCCTCTTGCTATTGTAAATTCTAGGAGTTTGAGGCTGACCAAATGTGAGGAATAGTAGGTTGTAGAAAGCAGGCATATAATAAGACTAAGCACTTGAAACTGTTGCACACTGTATAGAAATCTAAGATGAACAGGCACTATACATAGGCAAGCTTACCAATAAGATAATGATAGCAATAAACAAAAACAAACCTTTAGGGTCTTTTCTAATTTGTTTGTGCTGCTCCCTTCTCTTTGTACCCAGCCTTGATACAATAATGCTTACAGCTGTTCTTCAAAACTGAGAAGCAAAGTAACGAAATAGCTAGAAATTCAGGTTTAGCAGGATAAACCTCTTTTGTCCTATGGCACATATAAAATTCAACAACAGGGGGATAGGATGCGTTTTCTGTCATCATATATAGACATCAAAATTACAATTAAACAATACTTAATGGTGGTATGTTGCCAGCAGAACACATTGTCTGTGTCTATGCGTGTGTGTGTGTGTGTGTGTGTGTGTGTGTGTGTGTGTGTGTGTACACAAACATACATATACAAAGTGATCTGCTGGCAACATAACACCATTAAGTATTCTTTAATTGTAATTTTGGTCTCTGTGTGTGTGTGTAATATTTTACTTTCATTGATGTTATTTTGTTTCTATTTATGTGAATCTTCTCATGGAACTGAAGGCCAGCCAGAGCTTTGTCAAAGTGATTAGCTAGACTAGATCAATTGAAGCAGGGATAATGAAAGTTCAGACAACAATTATAGTTTTCTGAAATATATCTTCTTAAAAAAGACATTTTTTAAAAAAACTGTGTATGTTCTCTCCATGGGAGGCAACTCTAAACTTTAAAGAAACTGGCAATCATATATAAAACTGCCTTTTAATAAGACAAGAATACATTCTTTCAAAATCTCTGGAAGTTATTTTTTCCAACTCTGCTACCAAAGTTGCCTTAACATTAGGAAATAAACCTTATTAAGCAAAGATACCATGTAATTACTAAGGTTTAAAGGAAAGTAATATATTCAAGGTTACCTTTTGAATTATTTAATATCAGTGGATCCCAATTGTGGGAATTTGATTTTTAAAAAAGCAGGGAGAATTCTGTTTTATGATAGTAGAGCAGTCTTTGAATATGTTTCACTTAATAACAGTATGTTAAATAAACCAAAATTGGCTGGATTCACAAATCTTAATCCAGAATATGGAATAGATATTTTGTGAACTTGTGCCCATGAGCCAATATCAAAGAAAACATGTCATATTTCTCCTGCCAGTATCTTGTAAAGTCTATTCTGCAGACTCTGGTTTCTCTTCAGATCGTATAAATCTTTCGCCTTTTACAGACTTTATGAAACTTATTTAGCAGTCTTTTAAAAGAATATCTATTTTATCTGTACATACACCTTATTGTATAATATTAAAGTGTAATATTTAAACAAGCATCATTTGTTTTTCTACTGCAGGGAAGAAGCTGATGAGTATATTGACATTGGTGCCCTCAATGGCATTTTTGTGCTTGGCAGAAGCATGGGTTTCATTGGTAAGTCTTTTATGTTATGTGCTAAAGCCAACTGGATGATTTTGGGCTAGTTACTCTCCTTCAGGCATGGGAAGGAGGTAATGGCAAAATCACTTCTGAAAAACTTTGCCAAGAAAACTGCAGGGATGAGTCCAGGCAGTTTCCAAGTATCAAAAACTAACTTGAAGGTGTGCACATGCACATGCACATATAAATGCACATATAAATACATACACACACTTATATATTTAACTTCTTAAACTAGAAGGCAAGAAGCTGGCTTGGCTTGTGATAAATCATACTTGGCTACTATTGTTAAAAACCAGATCAACTGGCTTGCCTATTGAATCAGACTTCTAGTTGGGAAAGGCAGATCATGGGCACTAAAGAACTAAGCAATGTTTTAGGCAACATCTGGACAGAAAAGTGTATGCAATATACATGGAAGAGGATTCCAATGCCTTACTACTTGAGTGAATCTTTCAAAGAAGACATTTTGCTCACTGGTTCATCTAGAAAAGCTGTTTTTGTGTGGGCTATCCCTTTCCCCAAAAAATTTCAGACTATAGGGAGCTTAGCATGTGATGAATATAGTACCAGAACTTACAAAAACACAATTTTTGAGCCCTCTTCCCTAAACTTATTTTTACGGATGGGGGGAGACAATTGAACCATGTCTTAACTTTAATGGAGACTCACTATGTTAATTTTGTTTGTTATTTACTTCAGAACAGCAGAATTATTTTAGGGGTTTTACAAACAGAAGGGTTGCCTGTTTCTTCATTAAAGCCCAGAGAACAACCCGGACTATATCTGTTAAAGACCATAAGCCATTGGTGGGGAACCTATGGTACGGGTGCCAGAGGCGGCACTCAGAGCCCTCTCTGTGGGCACGCACGCCATCGCTCCAGTCCTAGGCCTTCAGCTGGGTTTTATAAACCCTTTTTGCTTTATGCCTCTGCCTCTGTATGCAAAAAAAAAAAGGTTCAATCAGTCAATTTCAACTTCTCGAGGGAGAAAAAAAAGATCTTGCAAAATTGGAACTGATTGATTGAACGTTTTAGTCCCACCCAATCTGCCGTTACCACCGCAGCCATGCCCACCCAATGGGCCAGGCCCACTCAATGGTCCACGCCCACCCAATGGGACACACCCAGCCAATGGGATACACCCACCCGGCACTTGACGATGCAAAAGTGGGTTTTGGGTTGCAGTTTGGGCACTCAGTCTCTAAAAGGTTCACCATCATTGCCATAAGCCTTCTGATTTGTACTTTATCCTCTATCTCAGTGGTTCTCAACCTTTTTAATGCCGCGACCCCCAACCGGTCGTAAGTCGAGGACTACTCAACCGGTCGTAAGTCGAGGACTACTCAACTGCTGCAGCACCGTTTGCAGAATGGGACTTTTGGCGGGCTCAGCAGGGCAGAGACAGCCTGGACAATTCCTATTGGCTTTTGAAAGCCAATAGAATTAGACTCTATTCAAGAGAGTCTATTCTGTTGGCTTTCAAAAGCCAATAGAATAAAAAGGAGTAGCACAGCTAAGGAAAAGGGGGAAAAAATGGCAGACTGCGTTGTTTGGCGACCCCCGTGAAATGGTCGTTCGACCCCAAATGGGGTCCCGACCCATAGGTTGAGAACCACTGTTCTATCTGTATAAGTGCTCTGAGATTTGGCTAGTGGGTATTTAGAATAAATAGAATGAAGTTCAGTTTCTACCATTTATGTCTTTTTAAAGACTATATCCAAAGAGAAATATTAAACAAAAAACATTTTATTTTAGGACATTACCTGGATCAGAAAAGATTGAAACAAGGTCTATATCGTCATCCTTGGGACGATATCTCTTATGTCTTACCGGAGCATATGACTATGTGATAACTGAATGGAACAAATCAAATTGCTTTTATGGAAGACCAATAAATATGACTACACAATATGCCTTGGTTGTGAAACAGACTAAGTTGAAATTCTATATAAGGCAGTCTTTTCTAGGGTTAGATGTGGATTCCATAAATAATGATAAACCAAAATATTCGCTACTTCCTGTTGTATTTAATATATTAAAGAAGTTGCACTGTCTTTGCTTGTTCCTTTATGCATGTTTATTTTGTCTCCATCCCTTCACTTCAGTAATTCTGGCCAAATGTTAATGTTTTTTATTTTAATATGTGACTTCATTAGACTTGAAAAGCTAGAGAGAGTCAATGTACCTGTATGATCAAATCTTAAAAGTCTCCTTGCGAGCTGTGTATAATTTTATGACAAATTTGTCCTCTCTGTATCCTGTATTTTATATTAATCATTAGCCTTTATTTCTGATCTGAGGGACTACACCTGATTTGACAAGCCTTTATAAATCTAGTATAATATTTAAAAATGTAAAACTGATAACATAAGCTCATATTCAAAACTGTGAACTTTGTGTGCATTCCAATTTTTGTATTTATGCAGGTAATATTTTTAGTTGTCACAAACACAAGTCCTACTATTTTTGCACAGGGTGATATCTGAATATATCTGTGCGCATAAGACACTTCATCTCTGGATCTCTAATGTATTCACAACAATATTCAGTGCTTCATTTATGTATTACAACATGACTTAAATAAAAATATACAATAATAAATAATGTTTGCTAGATTTTGTGTTTAACCAAATGTTGGATGAGAGAAAAAGGTATTAAGAGAAGAAAGTATTTGTTATTTTATCACACAGATCAGTGATTTGAAACTACCTTATGGTTCTGGGTGACTTCAGTCTGTAATAATAATAATGATGATAACGATGACGATGTTGGAAAGGATCTTGGAGGTCTTCTAGTCGAGGGGTCCCCAACCTGTGGGATCTGCCCCAGTACCGGTCCATGGTCTGTTGGCCACCAGGCCTCGGGAATGGCTGGCAAGTGCGCACATATATGTGGCCACCAGTGCCGCCATAGGTGCACGCAGCCTGCTTGCACATGCATGCAGGTGCTAGCGCCACCATGACGTGTGTGCCCATTTTGCACATACACATGCGTACATTTCCCTGCTCCTCCCTTTTCCAGCTGCCAACCTCAAAAGGTTGGGGAACTCTGTTCTAATCCAACCCCCTGCTCAGGCAGGAAA